CCCCCCAAAGACACTTCGGTAGATTTGCAGCCTCTGATACCGCACGGACCTTGCTGAGCAGTTTGCCATTGAGCTTCTCAACAAGACAGTACTCTTCTGGCGTGTACGCGTTCGTGGTCATGAGACGAATTCCCTTTTCCCTCAAGAAAATTGTCAACTTGGCGTTCAAAAACTCTCCACCTTGATCACACGAAAACATCTTGATGTTGAAATCATGACCGAGACGCAGTATCAGATTCATAACATTCTGGGCTGCTTCACTCTTCTCCTTGAGTAGAAACACCCACTTGAAGCGTGATGCCTCATCCTGGATGAGTTGAAAATACTTAGCACCACTCGGAGTCTTGTATCCAACATAGCAGGCGTCAGACATGAGACGAGCGCCACATTCCGTAGCTCGCTTTCCTTCATGACGCTTGAACGACATCCGTTTCGCTTTAGCCTCCTGACAAGCGATGCAATTCAGCGGCGTCTTCTTAAAGTCTTCCATCGACAACTCATCCATTCCATTAGCAGCCCCACTTTGCACCATCTTCCTCATGGCAGCTTCGTTCAAGTGCGCCAGCTTCAAATGCCACCTCATCACGACACTTTCCTCCACCATGTGGACAGGACGAGCCATCATCATGGAGGCATCCGGAACAGCACAGGCCTTCATCCAGTAGAAGCCATCAGCTCCCTTCATGAATTCAAGCCACTGTCCATCCTTGTCGAAATATTTCCGTCGCTTCTCGGCATCATCCGTGTCTGAGTATGAGGGTTTCCATCCAGTACTCTCCAATTGACGCTGGCTGATGAGATTTGTTGGTCCATCAGGTGTATAACGAGCGCCAGGCAACTCCAGAATTTTTCCACTTGAAACCCGGAGTCTAATTAGCCCAGCGTGTTCATTAGTATCAATTCCACCTTTCCAGTCCATAGTTAAGAGTGGGTCCCGTTTCAGATTGACAAACGAGGTCTTGTCAACACACACATGAACTCCAGCACCGTTATCCAACATCCAGTCCTGGCTCCGATTCACATTACTGCGCATCTTGCTCTCGCTCCATGCAAGACGAATCGGTACCGGAGGATTGTCATCGTCTCCAAGTTCACCTTTCCAAAGCATTCCCATCGGAGTTGCTGCCTTGGCCTTCTTGTCAGCTGCGACTCCTCCTCCTTTTTCTTCTTTGCCTTGTATCCGTAGCATTCTGCTCGAAGATGACCCTTCTTCTTGCAAAAGAAACATGACCGGTTCTCCTTCTTGACCTTCTTCCCACCACCTTTCTTCTTTCCCTTGGGTTTGTTCTCGACGGGCTGTTGTGACATCACCTTCGTAGCTTGAGTCACTTTCTCTTGATGACCCGCCACAATACTAGCCACGGCCTTGTCCGTCTCTGCTTCACCCAGGAGAGTATTAACTACGAGCGCCAGTTCAGGTTCGGTTCCACCCTTTGCATTTTGATTGAAAAGTCTAACCACATTTCGATACGAATCCACATCACCCTGCAAAATGATCTTCGCCATCTCTTCGTCCGGAATGGCTGCATTCATATTCGCTAGTTGCCGTCGCATATCTTCAAGCCTTTCCAAGTACTTCTCCATGTCCTCACCGGCAGTGAATTTCGTGGTATACAAGGAACTGCGCAGGCGGATGACACTCGCATACGCACGCTTGGTCTTGTCCCGTTCAAACGATTGCCACATCTCGCGAGCTGTTCTCAACGTACACACCTTCGAGTCTTTGGGTAGCATTCCAAACAGTAACGCGTATCGTGCGAATTGATTCTGCTCAATCCAATGTGGATCAGCGCGATTTGGATCATTGCTGCCTGCGATCACGTCCCAGCATCCGAACTGCTGTAAGAAAGCTTCGAGTTGGGCGCTGTAGAGGTTGAACCCCCCCCCCTCTTCCGAGTATTTCGGCGGCTTCGTACCGCGCACGTTCCTCAGGAGGCATCCACCGGTCCCGCCAGTCGTTTCTTGTGGTTGACCGCCACTAGTTGTTGCTGGTTGGGGCTGTACTCCTCCGGATGTCGACTGCGCTCCTCCAGACGATGGATGTATTTGCGGCCCTCCTGCGCCTGGTTGTCCTTGTTGTCCTCCTCCTCGTGGGGGCTGACCCTGTTGTCCGCCGCCGGATTGGTGTGGCCGTTGTCCCTGAGATTGATTCCCAGACGAACTCGTGTGTGGTGTTGTCATGATGCCTTTGTTGTGTTTCCTCGGACTGCGTACGATTCACTCTACAGCAACCCACTCGCAGCAAGAGTCACCGCTTCCCAGCCAAAATGCCCGCAAGCGTACTTGGGCTCCGTAACCTACGAGAACCTCCGTTCAGACTCGTCAGCACCAGAGTCGAGCAGTGTAGGCAAGGGCGGCGACAGCAAGAAAGACGCTTGTAGCTTAGAGTGCAGATTCAAAAGTGAGCAGTGTATTGTGTTGCATCGGGGAAGACCGCAGTCAGAAACCCCCTTCCAGTTACCAGTGACTACTACGGCCCACAACGTGGACGAGAGCTGACCAACCATGGCCACGATCCTTCCTGGGCATCTCCGCAGAGTGTTTCCTGGATCTCTCCTTGTCTCTCATAGTCACAACTATTCACAAGTCACCCACGACCAACTACAAACTACCATATCAAGACATTCAACTGGAATGACACCAACTCCAACGGTTCGTCAACTCCCAACGACATCAGTCACCACTTGTCGACACCGTTGAAGTCTCTTATCTTTCACATATCAAATCTTTGTCTATCGAGGCACAT